AGGAGGTGTTGGGCTCTCCATCTTTGGAGGTTTTTAAGCAGAGGCTAGATGGCCATCTGACAGCAATGCGGATTCTGTGAACTTAGGCAGATCACCAGAGGGAGGGCTGCAACAGTGCTTAGTTCTCATAGCCCTTTCTTACACGCCCAGGGAAATGCTAATTGCCACTTTGGGGTCAGGAAACAATTTATCTCCTGGTCAGTTTGGCCAGGGATCCAGGAGGTTTTTTGTCATCTTCTGGGCATGGAACACGGGTCACTGCGGGTGGGGTTGGTATTTGTGAATTTCCTGCATTGTGCAGAGGGTTGGACTAGATGCCACTGGAGGTCCCTTCCAACTCTATGATTCTAATTTCTCAGTGTTTTCATAATTAGGCTGGGTACTGGAAATTATTTTGCCTGCTTGGGTCTAACCAGGCACACTGTACTACTTCACAGCTTAATCCAAAGCATTCATAGAATGTCAATGGACTCACCGTCAAACCTGTAAATGAAATGGTTACAGTATTAATCTCCCTACCTCCCAGGTGTCTCGAATATCAGTGTTACTGGGGATCACCTTGCCGTGTTCATCTAGAGGATACAGGTCATCTCCAGCCTATCAGTAGAAGGAGAAAAAAAGAAACCAACGACAGTTATGATGCCACAAAACACATGAACACACACATGAAGCTGCCTTGTACTGAGCCAGACCATCAGTCCGTCAAGGGCAGTATTGTCTATTCAGACTGGCAGTGGCTCTCCAGGGTCTCAGGCGGAGGTCTTTCACACCACCTATTGCCAGATCCTTTTAACAGGCGATGCCGGGGATTGAACCTGGGACCTTCTGCATGCCAAGCAGATGCTCTACCCCTTAGCCACAGCCCCTCCTCAGAAACCCTACAAATATTTCACCAAATGGAACTTACAGAGCTGCCACAGGGAGTATATCAATTTAGCCTAGCACTGACAGTAGCTGTTCAGTGTCTCATGGACAGTTTCCTGCCAGACCTGAGATCTTTAGAAGCGGAGATGCCAGAGACAGAGCCCAGAATCTCCAGTATGCAAAGCACGTTCTCTATAGCCAAGTTGCAACTCTCGGGAGCTGAAGAAATTGTATAGACGAGAGCAAAAAACAGAAGTTTTTGTAATTGTAAGGATAAACTTGGGTATCTGAATAATTTCCAGGTCAAAACAGGAGTTTAGAATGGGGATACGGCTGGAATTCAGACCTATGTAGTCATTTTGGCCCATCACATTTCTTGAGTATGGAATACTAAGGTGACTGGCTGTGGTTCACTGGTTACAGCATCTGCATTGCATGCAGAAGGTTCAATCCCTGGTCTCTCTGGTGAAAGGATCAGGAAGCAGGTGATGTGAAAAGACCTCTGCTTGAGACACTGGAGAGCCACTGCCAGTCACAATGGATAATACTAACCTTGATATAGACCAACGGTCTGAGTCAGGAGGAGGAGGAGGAGGAGGAGATTGGATTTATACCCTGCCCTTCACTACCCAAAGGTGTCTCAGAGCGGCTTACAAACTCCTTTCCCTTCCCCTCCCCACAACAGACACCCTGTGAGGTAGGTGGGGCTGAGAGAGCTCTGATAGAAACTGCTCTTTTTCAAGAACAGATCTTATCAGAACTACGGCTTGCCCAAGGTCATCCAGCCAGGTACAAGTGGAGGAGTGGGGAATCAAACCCTGTTCTCCCAGATTAGAGTCCACACACTTAACCACTACACCAGACTGGATAAAGGAACTTTCATGTGTGACGGTGGGATTCAAGCATGTAATCTTCCCACTGAAATCAATGAGAATTAAAAGTAGTTAACCTGGGTTGGAGTGCACTCCAAATTTATGAGTCGGTTCTTTAACCTCCTGCAAATGGTTCTAAATAGGAATTCTTCGCCTTAAGAAGGTTCTAGAATATGCAGGATTGCTCCCGACTCACAGCCACAGTACCTTGAAACCCATGGGGAAGTGAATGATGTAGAGGTCCAGGTAATCCAGCTTCAAAGCAGCAAGGGAATCCTGGCATGCTCCTTTCACCTGGGATTTGTCGTGGAACGTGCACCATAGCTGGGAGGGATGAAGGAAAGAGAAGGATTGGCTAGACTGATCCAATCAAAAAGCAGGAATTGCTGTGATGGACAGTTCCGAAGCTCTGCTTTGCAGAAAGTCTAAATGCCATAGCAAATTACTTCTTTCACACTCTTCCCCCCCCCAACTCCCCCTCAATGCAGCCCAATGTTCCCTGTCTGTAGCTTAGAGGCTGAACCAGCAAAGGAGGGGCAAAGGGAAACCGCTCCCCACATTGACCCGTAACCCAGGAATACCGAGAACCACCACAGACCCAAATCAAAGATTCCCCTTGCCACCCTCCCCCCATTTCAAGAAGCACAAAATTCAAAAGGCAGAAAAGCGGGGGTGCACACAGTGAGAAAAGTTTAAAGGCACAAGTGTGTTAGTGAAATGGCCGGATGGAGCTCATCAGTACTTAAGGGGGGGAAGAACCTCTCTAGGGAATCCAGCTTCACTCACTTTAACCCTTTGCTTAACTCAAAAATAAAGCAAGTGCTTTTTAACTACAGGAGAGCACTCGCTATGCTTTCAAGTCAAGGGTTAAAGTGAGGACATAACTCCGCAATACACCTGACACGTGTGGGATCACGGGTACACGACTGGACTCGCAATCAGACATACATTGGGGGAACTCGTCTTAACAAGTACTTCTGTTTTCCCTCCCAGCCCACTTTTGCCAACGGAAAGGGCAGCACGTCCTTCTGCCCTCTCACAGCACTTCCTACCAGCACCAAGCAAACGAGCGCTTTCCAAGGCGAGTTCCCCCCATGTACTTCTGTCTGCCAGTCTGGTCATGAGCCTGAAACCTGGCACATTTCCAACATATTGTGTAGTTTGGCCCTGAGTGATTATGGATTCCCAGAGAAGCTTCTAGCTGTTGCTGAAGCTACAAGACTTAAAAGCTATGGCTCAGGCCTACAGGCATCTTGTCAGTTGCTTCTTTGCTCTCATGATTGAGGGAGATGAAGCTAACCGCCTGGCTTCTCAAGTCCCGAGAGAAACCAAGACCAGTGTTCCCTCTAAGCTGAGTTAGTGTGAGCTAGCTCACAGTTCTTAGCCTCCAGCTCACACATTTTTGTCTTCTCTCAGGAAGGATGGCTCCAGAGCAAACTAACTTATGCCGTAGCCAAATTGCTCGCTCACAACTATAATGCCAGTAACTCACAAAGCAGAATTTTTGCTCACAAGACTCCACAGCTTAGAGGGAGCACTGAGACCCATCAATACTTCACACTTCAGCAGCCCTGTCAGTAGCAGATAAGCCTTCCACGGGGGACCATGACCTTTTTGATCCTAGACTGTCATGACATCACTTCCTGTTTTAAGGCAAGCATTGACTGAAACAGGACGTGACTCTTAAGTGCTGTCCCCTCCCCATTGTCCCCCCCTCCACTCCACTGAGCGAGGGCGGGGGACAGGGAGCATCACCAGAAGCCCCCCCCCCATTATTTGGTGAATGGCATCCCTACCTAGACTACACCACACTCCTTTACCTTCAGGGCTATTTTTGGGCAGGAACGCACAGGAACGGAGTTCCGGCTGGCTTCAGAGTTGGCCACGCCCACTACAGCCAAAAACTCTGCGTGCGTGGCTACAGAGGGAAGGCCTGGAGAGCGACACTCCCCCCCAC